GACAAAAGTGTGCAACTTGGCACGACTATATATAAATATGTTAGCGGTTACTTGCTGTACCAATAATCAAATACTTCGTTTAGTATCAGAAGTTCAAACATTGCAGTTGTTAGCGAGACTTAACTTTTACCTGATTTTTCTACAGTATACCGCTCAAGTTTCTTCCGAAAGTTTCAAAGAGGTCATTGACTTTTTTGTAAATTACTGCTCTTTTTTATTGCTTACCTATTTATCGCGATTATAAACTTGCTAAATAGCATAAAAACAGTGCTTAAAGCTTTACTTCCAGCGTAAATAACATTGACGTCACAATTCTAATACATTCTGGAGATAACTATAATGAATAGTTTTGCTCAGTTATATCTCGAGACGTTTCTCATACATTGCTCTATTCCTGCTTTTTTCGAGATATATATATTTTTTTTTTTTTGATGCTATTTTTTACAATAAAAAAGGTGATAAATTTTTGCTATTTCAATACACTTATGTTTGCAGGCTGATATGTTTGATCATAACTGTTCATTATTGTTGATGCCGTTGTTGTTGCATCGTTCTGGTTGCTATAGTAGTCGTTGTTGTTGTTGTTGTTGCTGATGATGTTGTTGATGACGATGATGATGATGATGATTACAATTGCAGAATTACTTATACAGTCCAGAATGACAGAGCCTTAGTCTCGCGTAAACAGGCATTGAATTGGACTAAAGTAACAGTTTCTTGGATAGCTCTTCTTTTTGGCACGCCTGTTACGATACAAAATTTCTTTTGAAGCGTCAATGTTTGCTGCATCAACGTCCCGACTTAACAGTGCGTTCAAAAATTCTTCCCTGAAAATATTGACTTTTTTTTTGCCTTGAAAAGTTTGGAAAAAATTGTCTCTTTTTTACAGTATTGAAAAATAATGGCAACTCAAATTTTAGATTTTATTTTAATTAAAAAAATTTCACTCATCTATTATTGTATTTTTAATAACAGCAAACATCCAACAGATTTCTAAAGCAGTAAAAATAACCTTAACAAATCGCGTTCATTTGGTGTTGGATTCGCTTCAACAATTAGTATTATAAGAGCAGCAAAAACTGCAGCAATCACATAGATCCTCGGCGACATCTTCGATTATATTAAACAATTCACTAGTTACTGTACCTAAACTCTACATCACTGTAAAATGTCAGATACTATACTATTAATGCACCACTTTAACACATAAAAATCAAAAATGAATAAAATTTCAACAATTTTCAGCCGAAACTCTGTCGACGATCTGTAGATATCGTAACCACCAATGCCTTAAGGAAATATTAAGAAGTTTAGTTCTTCAGAGTTTAATGCATGGAAAATATTTTTAAAAAATTTACTGTTCTCTAGTAAAAAATTCAATTAATCAGAGCGACTCTTATAACCGTATACAGCAGTTTTCCAACCGGTGATCGCTATGATCAGGAAAAATGAACTAAGGAAGGAAGTCAAGTGACAAGAAGGAAATAGGCTGTTGAAGCAGTAGAGGAAACCGAGAGAAGAAGCGGCCAAAATGATGCCCAATAACAGCAGAGAAAGCTTTTATATAGCCAGAGTTGTTATTCGTTACACCAAAATTATCCTTTACTTTTACCATGATTAAGCCTAGTAAAAAAAACCCTCAAAAAATCAGTAATATCTTGAAAAAAAAACAGCGCCAACCACGCCTTCATTTTTGTCCTTCTTCGATGGTTATCTGTAATAAAACTTACATTAAAAGATTGCTTTTAAAGTAATCATTGCCATTTAGAGTAATTGAAAAAAGAAATCAATTGATGGTTAATCGCCTTCCTCCGTTTCTCTTCTGCTTTTCCAGTAAAAAAGCAATTAGTTGTCGCAAAATAACACGGTTTTGAATTCTACGTACTGAAAAGAGCGATTCAATACTATTGCCAGGATTTCCAAAGCTCCTATCGTTATAGTCAGAATACGACAAATAGCCATCAAACGGATACGTCTATTTAAACTATCTTTTAGATTTGCTCTTTTCTTTGAACTAATATGCTTACTGATCTAGTTATGAATATTGTAGCACTACTGTTTGTGCAATCGTCCAACACATTTTCTCTATATATTCTGTAAGTTAAAAATACCGGTAACTTTCTAGTTTTATCACTAAACGTTTTCTCAAGACAAAAGGCTGTTACGCAAGTTCTTAACCCACTTGACATTTGGATCTTTAAGGACAGTTTTTCAATGACACATCAAAACCATCCTTTTAAGCCTATAAGTTATAGAATCTGCTAAAAAGGCAAAATTTTAGCATAAAATTTTTTTAACATTTTTAAAAAAATTTTTTTCATCAAAAGCTAAAATTCTCTTTTTTGATATTAATGCTTTCTGGCTTGAAAACTTTGTTCAGTAACATAAATTTTTTTGCTTCTAATGCTAGACATTTTGGAAAACGTGAAGAGCAGTAAGCCAAATAAACTAAACGTCATAGGTAACTGGTGAAAAAAAAAAACAACTTACCCTTAAATTTAAATTGCTCTAAAAACTTGCTCCTTTTTTTTCACAGATCCGACATGTGGCTTATTTCCGTGAATTATTAGTTCATATAGTTCTTTTTGCCTCTTTCTTCAAGCCTCATATATAAATCATTTACCTCTGCGCAATACATAAATAAATTTTTCTGAATTTGATCTTTATATATCTTTAAACACGTTGAATAGAAGACAGAATTTATAACTTAGCTGATTACTGACGTTGTTACCTCTCAGACTTATGCATTTCGTAATCCAGAAATATCTTCCCTAATTTTATGTTCCTGCTTCACAATTGATTTCGACAGATAGCAAAAATTAACAGGAAGGAAGTGCAGAATTGTGCTTGACAATTGCCGAATTAAACTTACTGTGCTTAGTTGATATAGATTTAGTGCAAAACGTTCTTTTACTAATTTTAACCTGCTCAAATTAGCCTACAAAATCCAAAAGCTTTTGAAGACTTCCTTGTTTCACCAGATGTAATTACTAATAGATGTTGGGCAAAAACACTTTGTTCACAACGGGATAACACTTTGATCACGTAAACTCACTCAAGTACTGCATCTTTACCAATCGTCCCAATAAAAGAATTGCTTTTATTTTTATTGCCCTGATGTGTTTTCTGTGTTAAATAAAATAATTTAATTAATGATTTTTTTTCTTGAGATAAAGAATGAAAAACAAGCAACACTCTACAAAAATTATTTCGTTGATGCGTCTTTTTCAAACCTATTAAACAAATTGAAAACAAATTTATTTTCAATTTATAAATCCAAAAAAAACTGAAATATAAGAAGACCAGTAAGATGGTAAGATCCATTTGGCAGATTAAGACTTCCAGATTTTGAAAACAACGAACTAGTAGCAGGTCCGTCGCCTTCAAACATTTTCGCGGTCATCTTTTGCAAAAAAACCATAGCTATAAACACCGTTTCTAGATTTTTTAACAGAAATGGGTAACAGACGCTAATATTGGAAATGCTTTCAGAAAAGATAAGTGATTAACCAGGACAAAAAACTTGATAATAAGTGCCCTCAGAAACAGCACAAAAATTCCTTTTACACTGCTGCAATCAGTCTGTTGCTTTGAATAAGGATCCTATGACAAAAATGCCTTTTTTTGAAGTCAGAAGTTGCTAGAAAGATTTCAATATCTCCTTCTGATCGGCTACGCAGGCAGCACCAGTAAAATTATCGTACTTTCGTGGAATATCTTGAAGCCGTTTCACAAGCTTTTTCCACCACTGCCTGTAAAATGCTTTTCTGCCTTGGCTTTCTCATGGAGTGCTGGTTGTTCTTACAGTAGAAACGAGTCCCGAATAAATGTTACAGGAGTGATTTTCAACTTTGGAGAGGACGAAGAAGAGGGGAGAAGTAAAGTTGTTTGGAGCTACCTAATGCAGAATGTGTACTCTGGAAGAGTCAAAAATCAAAGAATAAAAGAACATATGAAACTGCACACAGCGGTTTAACTCTGACCGTATCCCGACTCATTTTAGCAGAATACTATTTTCTTCACTTGTGCCACATAAACCTCATATTCGCCAAGAAAAACCCAGAAGTGAGCCGAAAGATAATTATGCAGCACACTCTGTCCGCTGAAGTCTCACTCCCTCAAGCAAAATCACTCAAAAAGAAAACACTTTTCTACAGCTGCTGTCTCATTTCGCACTGAGCAAACCATTTTGCCGACAAACTCCACACTTGTCAAATGCTGCGTTTCAGACAACCCAAAGACTCAAGACTCCCCAAAGGATTTTTTGTTTTTACACAAAACTTTCCAACTACAGACGGAAAAGACTGTCTTCGTCAGACAACACAAACTGCCTCTAGAAGAAATCGGGAAATTTAGAGACCTTTTCTGTACTTAAGCTACTGAAGTCTAATGGACGCATAACTCTATAAAAAAAAATCCTTTCCACAACCGAAATCTGCATATCAACAACCCAAAACTTTTTATTTATTTTTACAGCATGATTTTTCAAAACTTTGTTGTGATAAAAAGGTTGAAAACTGTGAAGTTCAAGTAAAGAAACGCTCGTCACCAAAGAAAAGAAATTATATATGAACTGTTTATTGTAACAACCGCTTCTTCCTTTTATCATCAAATTGTGCTCTTTTTCGAAAACTACTTGAAGCACGTCTAAATACTTCCAACATTTTCATGAAAGCTGTAGGAAACTTCAATAAATTTTGAAGAAACTTCTGTAACAGTTAGATCTGATGAATTATATACCAACACGAGAATTAAAATGATCACATTGAAAAGGAAGCAATAAGAATGTACATACAATGTAAAAGTAAGTAAAAAACGAGGCAAGCAAATGCAAAACACGATGCCTCACAGTTTGCAGTAATTTATCTAAAAAGTACTGCTAGTCTAAAAGTGAACTTTCAGAGCATCTGGAAAAAAGCCTGCCTCATCATTCATGCAGCTTGAACACAATATACTGGCACTAAACAAAAACTGAGAAACGATTTACAGAATCTATCCTCTGTAATGACTAGAATCAACTTCAACTAACTCCGAATTTGCAAAAGATAAAGTCAACCTTACCTGAACTGTACACAACCTTACAATAATTGCACAAATATCCAGTGCAAAAACATAAATTAATTAGGGTTAATAAATTAAACAAATAAATAACAATGAATTAAACCATCGAAGTTTTTTGAAGTTTAAAGCCATTTCTAAGTTTCTTAGAAACAACAATAAACTTAAATCAAGTGACAACTACCTGAGTGAATCAATGAACAAATCAGAAAGACCCGCTAAGAGAATTCTTTGAAAAGACTAGGCAAAGAACGGAATTTCAACGAACAGTCCGCACCACACGAATACAATCGAAAATTTCCATCTACATATAACTGTTGTACTCCCTGTATTCCACTTGTCCGTAAACTAAATCCGCCACGCGCAACGTGTTCTGCAGAAAGGGTTGTGCGTAATTCAAGCACGTTGTCGTATGACCAGATCTAAACCAATATTAAAAAGTCAAAAAAAAAGAAGCAAGAATGCTGCAACACTAGTGCAGGAAAAGGTAAATATGCAGTGAGCTACTTACTACGAGTAATAGTTATTGCTGAAAAAACCAAATAAACAACAATATTGTAAAGAGTGACTGCAATGAATTTGGTAATTACTTTTATATCGCCATCATTAGATCCAGCAACAATTAAGTTTTGACTTGGTTCACCCACTAAACATTTCACTGACGAATTTTCGAAGCATTTTACGGTACTGCGAAGCGTCCTTTGACGAATATCCCACAAACTCAACTCACCATGGCGACCACCAGAAACTAATGCCTAAACAGAATAATGGCTTATTTAAAAAAGATTTGATCCTTAATATCCAAAAGCACCAACTTGTTGTGCTGGAAGATACATAACACTTGCAGCTCCTTCAGTATGTGCTATCCAGGAATGGATCATTGCGCTAGACCGAGGCAGTAAAGTATCCCATAAAACAAGATTTTGCTCATTCGACCCGTAGCCTGCAGTTACTAAAACTGACGAAGACGATCCAAGAAAGCGCACATCTGCAGCCGATTTAGAATGACATTTTTGGTTCTAAAACAACGACTCATAAACTTACTTAATAGTGTCGAAGGTATCTTGAGGCAAAAAAACAATGAAAGTATGAAGAAGAACAGATAAGGAAACAAACAAAGAATGGCTTCTGAATGGGAAGGCCCTGACTAGCTTGCCATATACACAGTATACCGTCTCCATCTACAGCAGCAAACTTGTTTCCATTTGAAGAGAAAACAACTTTCGTAACCTGAAAAATAATTAGAAAAAAAAAAGTCGGTAAGACTAAGTAAAACATTATGAACTCCTAAAAAAAAAATACTTTTCAGTGTAAACCGCTAAAAAACTATAACTTACTTATGTAAAATTTAAGAGTTCAGTTACAAAAATAAAGACGTTAACTAATTATTCAAATTTTTAAAGTACACAAAACGTCTTTTACTACCTTGGAGAACTGTCCAGCTACTCGCGGAGTAAACAACGGTTGCCCTACGCCCCATTCCCACAAACGTATTGAACCGTCAGATGAACCGCTAACATCTAAAAAACTGGTAGTCTTATAAAATTGCGAAGCCTGAAGAAAAAGTCAAAAGCTTTACAAAAACCCTTACAGTATGGTAGCAGAGGATGAGCATCCATACGACGAATATTGCTAACCGACCGCTTCAGCAGCTTAAATAGACAATTTTTATTTTTACAGTATCAGTGCAATCATCCAAAGCTGGTGAAAATAAGTAGCAATATACCATGCAACTCATATCAAATGCTTCTATAGAAGACCTAACTTTGAAGTGAACAATAACTAGAAAATTGTTGAAAATTGTGCAGACATGCTACAAAATACGAACACAACCACAAATGCAACATTTGAATACCTTTCTTAAAGCCATACGACTCCTATCAACAATAAATTGCGACATCTGTAGAAATTAAAAAAATACTTGCGGTATTTTATTACACGACAAACCTAAGTCTCTACATTTCTATCTTATTAGAGAAACAGAAATGTTTGAATAATAATTTTGCAATTCAAGAGTCAAACTCATTAATAACCATTAATAAAAAAACTATGCTTATTAAATTTAAAAAAAACATCAAAGTAAACAATCAACAAATTTAAGGTAGTAGAATACACCCAGTTAAAAATGAAACTCAAGGTTTGCAGAAAAAAAAAAAACTTACAAAGTTTGCACCGCTTGTTTTTCTACTGTTAGAAACAAAAAGCTGGTAATCGTCATTGTCCTACAATAAAAAATTATACAAGCCTCAGTGCTCCAATTTAATTGAGAAAATTTCTTTTAACTTTCGGGACAAGCATGCTTTAAAACTGACCTTCAGCACATCTTTTTTGATCTCATTTAAGCTAATATCAAGTTCAGTACGATTATTCAGCCACGAAGTACTCCGACGGTTTTCACACTCATCAAGCAACGGTGTAATATCCAATTCTTGCAGCTCCTTTGAGGTAGCAACCACTATCCAACCCGGCTTCACCTAGAGTAAACTTTATCAAAATGTAAACCACAAGGTACTGACAATAAAATAAACAGTGTTCACTACATACCTGGCTACAGGCAAATGCTGAAATTGCTTCGTGTTCTCTCTGTATAATCTTAAATGCTTCAGTTTGTGACGACTGTGTATCACCCAGTGCTCCTTCGTGCGACACAGTGGGTCTTTCCGTCTAAAATGAATATATTGCAATAAAAACTGCCTATTTAACAAAAATTGAATAAATAAATAATCTAATTAAATAAATAAATTAAATTAAATTAGGTGAAATAAAATAAATGAGTCTTACTTTTTGACCTTGAGCTCCATATATGTAGCGTACGAAAATGGGTGTAAGGTGCTCTTGACGAACGAGGTAAGCCCAAAGCCTCCTGACAGGCAAAGCTGTCGGGTCATCACTTTCAAAGGGTGTATTTCCTGTCTCAACTAAGCCACGATATTTAACTAGAGGACCTAAAATACAGAACATTCTGTTTGGTTACAAGCTAGTTTTGAACCAACTATCCCACTATAAACAGGCGTAATAAATTACAATTACCCGATCGGTCGTCAATATTCTCCACAGCAGTATTTGGCAAAAGTTGTGTAGGAGGACCACCATCGAATCCATCCAGTTGCTCCTCCAATGACTGCGCCCAATCATTTAATAATCGGAACATCAGACAAATACGTGGAGCAATCGCAGGTAAATCTGGAAACCAAATTTTCAGACATTGCTTGAAAGCTTAAATAAATTACAGAGCCATATGTAAAGAATAAGGGCAGGTAAAAGTAAAAAAGCATTTAAAAATAACCAGAAAATTCAAATCCAGC